TTCAGGACAAGCACATAGTGACCGCCTTTGAAATTTCCTGCTTCATGGAAATGTCTGCTGGAAACTATGGGCCTGTAGGCCGAAGATGGATGCCCCAACAGTACAGAGGAACATTGGATGACTGTCCAGGCAGCGAGATGTCTCTGTCATTTCTAGAGTTTGAAAGTTACTTTTTTCTGGTTTGCTTAGGTAATATTGTATCTTTCTGGAGTCTTTGATGGAGTCAAGAATAGTTAGTTATAGTTATAGTTTTCCTTAATTATGATAAAGATTATTGTAATTTTTATTTGATAACTGTTTTGTTATATGTAATTTTGCTATGTTAAAGTTAAAGCCTTCCTTTTTTTGTTTAAACAGAAAAAGGGGAAGTGATGTGGGAGTGTCATATATCAATCTGTTGATTTCATTGGTTAAGCAATAAAGAAACTGGTTGGCCCTGATAGGTTAAAACATAGGTGGGAGGAGTAAACAGAACAGAATGCTGGGAGGAAGAGGAAGTGAACTCAAACTCGACAGCTCTGCTCTCTGGAGCAGAGACACCATGCTCCCATCTCCTGGGCAAACGCGATGAAGCTCCAACCCAGGATGGACATAGGCTAGAATCTTCCTGGTAAGCGCACCTAGTGGTGCTACACAGATGATTAGAAATGGGCTAATTCAGGTGCAAGAGTTAGCCAAGAAGAGGCTAGATAGAAATGGGCCAAGCAGTGTTTAATGAATACAGTTTGTGTGTTGTTATTTCGGGCATAAGCTAGCAGGCGGCCGGGGTGCTGGGGACACAGCCCCACCGCTCCTATTACTACACTGTTTTGTTTTTGTTTGTTTGTTTGTTATTGAGACATGTTCTCATGCAGTCCAGACTAGCCCCCCTCACAATATTCTTCTGCTTTGACCTCTCTGCCATGCCTGGCAATGGTGTGTTTTTTATATATTCTGTCTTACAGTGAACATTAATTCTTCATCATTTAAAAGGGCAAGGGACAGAGGGACAGGCAATGTCCTAGCAGACACACCTACATGCTCTGTGCGTCAATATGCCAAATAAATAGAAAATGAAACTAAACCCAAAAGAACAAAGTCAGTAGAACCCTTCATGTGTCCTTTGAAGACCTTTAACACTCACTTTTTGAGGAGGCAGGAAAGACCCAAGTATGGACAGTATGGAGCAACTAGTATGTGACTGGGAGCTATATACCTGAACAGACATGAAGGTCTAGACAATTTGTGGCTGGCTGATATAAGGGATGTCCCAAACTTTGCTAACAGAATGAATTATCATGGATGGAGGAAGAGCTTGGTGGATAACTGCACACACTGCTCTTGGAAGATGAGTTCAGTTCCAACACCCACCTCAAATGGCTCACAACTACCTGTGAACCTCTTACTCAAGTTCCAGGGCTTTAGATGTTTCTTCCGGTCCCCAAAGGCATCTGCACTCATGTGCATGCACCTGACACACCCACACCATATTAAAAATAGTAGCTCTTCAGCAACAACACGAATTAAATCCTCACACCATGAACAAATGTGGAAGAACTGTTTACTCTCACCTTCCGATTTCAATGGCATTTACAGTCAAGCAAAGGGATCCTCCACCCTAAGTGGGGAAACAGCTCATGGAAACATAGATTTCATTTATGGCGTCTTTAACACATTTTGTCTGGGCTGAGGCCGTGGCTCAGTGCAAGACCAAACTCCTTACTTCTGGTCACAAACATTGTGTCAGGATCTTTTAATTTCCATAACATTTAACAAACATAAGTTGAATGCTGAGTTAAGGGTTCTAGAGTTAATGAAGACACATTTTAGTTAACTCATCTCTTGAGCTACAATATGGGATGTATGTGTCAACTTTTCCACTGCATATCAAGATAAACATCAAGAGGAAAGGAAACATGGAGTCAGAAGAGCTTAAATTAGGTCAAATGGGCACACAATGTGCACAGCCTTAAGACAGATGCAAGCAGAGCACAAGATGTGTTCATGACAAACATGAAATCCACCATTCCCTTTGTGAAGTCCACTGACAGCAGTGCCATTTCCAATGGTGCTTCAGGACGACAGCATGAGCTGTGCTTGCAGTATTATTATATTTATTTTACTGATGAAGAAACAAAGCCCTAAAAAGGCCTGGCCCTCAAAAAAAAAAAGCCATCTGTAAATTTAGCTGGAAGACGGTATTAGACTTCATGGACTCTGTTCTTGCTTCTTTTAACCTACCGCATATGCACATCTTGGGGATGGTATCACCTGAGGTGCTGTGGTTCTGAAATCTTGGAGAACAGCACCACACACTGTTTTTCTGTCTGGAAAGAAAGGCTGGGTTGTCTAATTAGATTCCCTACAAGTCACTAACTGCGCTGTTGGAGGACTGTGACTGTCACCAGCCTCTCCATCACTAGCATGGTGCCACTGGGAACTGCACTATTGGGTTTAGTTGTGGCCTCTTGCATACAGCTAAGTCATTTGCAATAAACTGAAGATATTACTGCACACATGTGAGAAAGCAACACGCAAACGTGAAATCTTTAAAACTCTAAATAAGATTAAGAATGTTAAATCTCAATATTATATGGACTTATGAAACATGATAACCATATACCTTAAAGTCCCTTAATAATAAGATGTCACAGTGGGGAACAATGAAAGGTGTCCTGAGATTCTCCATATCATTCTTGCAATGTCCCCTGAGGTTATAAATACTTCAGAATTAAAACTTAAAATATTTGCATAACTATTACTGTAATTAAGAGTGAGACACACTATGTTTAAGATATCTGTCATCTCATCGAGAAGATTAGCTTGGGTATAAAATCTTCAAGGGAGCCAGGAAAACAAGTCTGGAACACAGCCAAGTGTCCTTCCAGACAGTCCAGGTGTTCACAGGACAGAACAAGGATGAAGGTGGAGCCTGTGGAAGCAAAGTTTGGAACTGTCCTCTACTCTCGGGTGTCACTCAAGAGAGAAAGCACAATGACAGCAGCAAACATGGGACAGAACTTCCCTGTCCGCCGTCTGTCTACAGCCACACAGATCCCACACAACAAATCCTCCCTTCTGCTGTAGTTAACCAGACCAGGAGTGTGCACTACAAGAGGGTTCAATTCCACCCTGGGCGCAGAAGGGAATGCAGTCAGACAGGCTTACTGACCCTCTCATTAGACGTATTTCAGGTGCAAATGTAATCAAAGCCACCTTGGTTTTAAATGCAAGTATTAATCCACTTATTGTACCACCGACCATGCATGGATTTAATCCTCAATTAAAGACATTCTAACTGCCAGGCAGTGGTGGTGCACGCCTTTAATCCCAGCACTCAGGAGGGAGAGGCAGGCGGATCTCTGTAAATTCGAGGGTAGCCTGATATACAGAGTGAGTTCCAGGACAGGCATCAACACTACAGAGAAACCCTGTCTCAAAAAACCGAAAAGGGAAAAAAAAGACATTCTAATTACTCCAAGCCTGCATAACATGCGTAACGGATTCGGGTTCAGACAGACATCTCAGATTATGTGCTTAACGCCACTGCTGTGGTCCGGGTGCCGAGCCAACTGTGACGTTATACACAGATGGGACACCTGGGAAGAAACCAGGGTGAGATCAGGTTGCGAGAATAGGTCCCTCACAATGGGATGAGCACACACATTAGAAAAGTCCTGAGGGCTGGCTCTCCTATCTGAGTTCAGGGTGAGAAGGCAGCTGTTTACACAGCAGAAAACCCACTAGCACGCAGGAACGAAGCAGAAGTGTACATACTGAAGGTTCCTAGCCTTCCTCCTTTCCCTGGTGCTGGCTTCCAAAATGCCAACAGATATCATGTTTTTTAAGCAGAGTCTGAATAATTTTCCAGGAAATCCTTCTTTAATGAAGACACAAGTCAACAAGAGTATAACTCAACAAGACAGCCTCACTCCGAACTCACGAAACCAGTTTCTGCCCCAAACTAAGGCTTTCTGCTAGAAGGAGGGCTGATGCTAAAAGATGGTCCCAGCTGACCCTGGCTCCTCACCCTGGGCTCCTGTAGAATAACCTCACTGGCCTAACAACTCCAAGGGCTTATTTTATCCCACACTTCCAGGCAATAGTCCATCATTGGGGGAAGCCAGGCAGGAGCAGGAACTCAAGGCAGACAAGTGAAGCAAAAGCCATGGAGGAATGCTCTATGTGGGTCTATTCAACCTGCCTTCTTATACCATCCAAGGACACAGGCCCAGGTGGCACTGCGACCAGCGGGTAGAGCCCTCCCACATCCATCATCAATCAAGAAAATGCCCCAAAGGCCTTAACTCTGTGTGCTGAGTGCCACATGGTGAGGGCATTTCTCAGCTGAGGTTCCTCACCTCACAGGACAGTACCTTTGTCAAACTGAAAAAACAACCAACTACAACAGTTCTTAAGGTGCTTATGGTATAACACAAACGCGTGCACACGCATGTACACACACACATATGCACGCACGCACCATTCATGAGGCTAAGAAACACAAGAATGGTTTGGAAAAATAAAAAATGTTTTGATTGCAGAAATCATGAGCATTTTTCATCAAGGAAGTGTGACTTAACCAGGCTGAGTTTAAGTAAACTGAGTAAGGACTGTCCTTCTGGGAGGAACATGATAAGAAAAGAAACAAAAGCACGGTCAGCTCTGCAGCCTGCAACAGCTCATTCTGATCAAAAGAAAGAAAAGGAACAAGGAAAGGAAATGAGTACACACGTGATGTCAGATCATAGACTGGCCTTGCGCATCATGCCGCGGTTTAAGGATTTGTATAGAGGATGCGGGGTGATGGCAAGGTGGCAGTGGAGGGGCCAGTGGCCCAGCAGGGCAGCTTCCATCAGAACTGTTCTTTTAGACACCGCAGGCAACAGTGACTGCGGTGGAGAAGGGCTGCAGCTGAGGCCCAGGTGCCTGCAGCCGGGCTGCCCCTACTGCATTTCAGCAGCGAGTTTACCAAGCTGCCATCCTCTCCCTAGGTCTGCTCCTGACGCCTCTGTAAATACCTGTGGATTTGTTTGATGCTCTCCTCCGAATCTCTGTCACCATTAGTCGCGAGACTTGCGTTGTGAACTGCAGAAGGTCAGAAAATTTTTCTGTCATAGTATTTGGTGGAGCGTTTCCAAAAACCTGTAAATGAGAGAAGCATTTAGTGAGGTCCTGTCCCTTTGTCTGAAATAAGAAGCATTTACCGAAAGAGCACACCTGGCCATGAGTTCTCATGTGTATGAATGGGTTGAGTATATGATTAACTAAACAAGCTGACAAGCACCACTAAGAGACTTCAGAAAACATAACCATTCCCTGTGGAAGCCTAAACTGAAAACTCATGAAAGGGGGCGGTTTGCTGAGGGAAGACAGGTGCTCTATGGGAAGACACAGACACAGACCTACACTGAGCAGAGAATTCCTTCATTTTATTTGATATTTCAAAATAAATTCTAACCACAATCATTTTTAATATAGGGCTATTTGAAAAGATAAAGGAAAAAATAGAAGGCTCATAAATAAACTGTCTTTGATAAAATTTTAGGACAAATGAACTTTATAATAATAATTCTTAAAAACTGGTGTAGACTCAGAAGAGAAGGGATGAAACAGGATGGACCGCCATGAGAGAAGAAGTAGTATTTTAGTAGCCATATGGATAGGCTGAATTTTTTAAAATGTTCTTTACAGCTGAAAGGGAATCCTGTCCTGTAAGCTGTAAACACTACACTTCCCATTTACAATGTGCTATCTGCATTATTACTATTCAAACGGCTGCTATAAAGCCAGCAAACAATCTGCCCACATTCTTTCCCAAACGAACATCGCACTAGGCATTTGCAGGGAAGTTCCCTAAGTTGGTGTTTATATGCACACTGTCCTATAAGCAAGTACTACCTAGAGACTGGTAAAGGAAGACTGGGTACACACAACTGTACCCCCAGCTGAGGAGCTGGGATGAGTGCCCAAAGCCAAAGCCAGTCTGAACCACAGTGTCTGCTGTCTCAAAAACAAAAGCAAAACAAACACCAACCAGCAAATAAAACACTAGAGCAACACAAACTGCAAACTCAACACCCAAAAAAAACTCAATGAGTCAAAAGATAAAGCCTAGTGAACCGCCCTCCACCAAGTTCATCATTCAGTCTCCCTAAGACCTATATGCATCACAGATGGAAGCTGTATGCAGTGGACGCTTTGCTATCTGTCAGCATGTACAAAGTGGACCTCTCAGCATCTGCCATGCATTCTTGCTATACGTATGTAGACTTTCCAGTCTTTGTTATGTATGTATGCTATTTGCATTTGGTCTCACCATCTGCCATACATGTATGCTGTATGCACCTGGACTTCTCAGTACAATAATAAGACTTTATTTCACAGAGTCTAGAAAAATATACAGAAACTCCCACAATATCATTTTAATATAGGATGTTTCCTACATCCTTATAAAGATACTGTTTCAAATTAAGTGGTAACTAGCAACAAACCATTCTGCAAAGGTTGCTCTGGTCAAGAAGTAATCTGTTCTGTCAATTTCACAGGAGGAATTTTTATGCTTTCAAAGAACAAATTGTTTTTAAAGAATTCCTCGAGGCGGCCGGATCACCGGGCGGCGGATCACCGGGCGGCGGATCACCGGGCGGCGGAAGGCGGCCAGATCACCGGGCGGCGGAAGGCGCCAGGCGCCAGAGGACGCCCAGCGCAGCCGGCGGGGACCAACTGGGACAGGCTGGGACAGGCTGGAACCGGCTGGGACCGGAGCAGCAGCAGAGGACACAGGCTGCTGGCGGCAGGCAGCAGGGACCGCACGCAACACCGAGAACAGATCGCCCCACTGCAATTAAACCAAAGAGGTAGGCCTTCGGTTGGGGAGGTCCCTGGCAAAGGAAGAGCCGGGTCCTATTCCTGAAGACCCTTCTGAGGGGTGAGAGGGATCTTGGCCCCCAGCAGGAACCAGGAAACAGAGCAAGGGCATTTTGTAAGAGGAGCCTCTGGCCAGCAGGGAAACCTGAACCAGTTTTAACAGACCCCTTAGATAGCATCGATAGGAGATGGGCAGGCGCCAAGGAAAGAATTCACCCAATAATCTGAAAAACAACATGAAAACACCAGAACCCAATGATCTTAAAACAGAAGGTCTCCAACACCCTAACACAAAAGTAGTGGAAAAATTGACTTTATGAAAGCAGTAGAATCCCTTAAACAACATGTGAAAAATGCCCTTATAGAAATGGATGAGAAGTATAACCAAATATTTGAAGAAATGAGTAAATACGTACAAAATACCCTGGGAAACCAAGAAAGAACGATCAAACAGGTAATGGAAACAGTTCAAGAATTGAAAACTGAAATGGAAGCAAGAAAGAAAACACAAACTAAGGACCAGCTGGATATGGAAAATCTAGGTCAACGAGCAGAGCCTACAGAAACAAGCATAATCAATAGGATACAAGAAATAGAAGAAAGAATCTCAGATTCTGAGGACACCATAGATAAAATAAACGCTCTGATCAAAGAAAACTGCAAAGCCAACAAATTCTCATCACAAAACATTCAGGAATTATGGGACACAATAAAAAGATCAAATCTAAGAATAATAGGAATAGAAGAAGGAGAAGAGTCACAGCTCAAAGGCCCAGAAAATATTTTTAACAAAATTATGGAAGAAAACTTTCCCAACATAAAGAAAGATATTCCTTTGACTATTCAAGAAGCATACAGAACACCAAACAGACTGGATCAAAGGAAAACATCCCCTCGCCATATAATAATCAAAACACAAAATATACAGGTTAAAGAAAGAATACTAAGAGCTGCAAAGGAAAAAGGCCAAGTAACTTATAAAGGTAAACCGATAAGACTTACACCTGATTTCTCTATGGAAACAATGAAAGCCAGAAGGTCCTGGATAGAAGTACTGCAGAAGCTAAGAGACCATGGATGCAAGCCCAGACTACTATACCCAGCCAAGCTTTCGTTCACTATAAATGGAGAAATCAAGACATTCCAGGATAAGAACAAATTTAAACAATACGTAGCCACGAACCCAGCCCTACAGAAAGTAATAGAAGGAAAACCGCAACCCAAGGAATCCAACATTGCCAACACTGCCTACAATAACTCAGGCATCTAGCGACCCTTGACTAGCACAACTCAAAGAAGGGAGACACACAAATTCTACTTTCAAAAACAATAAGAATATCCGGCATAAACAACCACTGGTCATTAATATCACTTAATATTAATGGTCTCAATTCACCTATAAAAAGGCACAGGCTAAGAGATTGGATACGAAAACAGGATCCAACATTCTGCTGTTTGCAAGAAACACATATCAACCACAAAGACAGGCATCTACTCAGAGTAAAGGGTTGGGAAAAAGTCTTTCAAGCAAATGGTCCTAGGAAAAAAGCAGGTGTGGCCATATTAATTTCTAACAAAACTGACTTCAAACTAAAATCAATCAGAAGAGATCGAGAGGGACACTTTATACTCATAACAGGAACAATTTGTCAGGATGACGTCTGAATCCTGAATATTTACGCCCCTAATATAAAAGCACCCACGTATGTAAAAGAAATATTACTAAAACTCAAGGCAGACATCAAACCACACACACTAGTAGTAGTAGACTTCAATACACCTCTCTCAGCAATGGACAGGTCAATCAGACAGAAACCTAATAGAGAAGTAAGAGAACTACTGGAGGTAATGAAGCAAATGGACTTAACAGACATCTATAGAACATTCCACCCAAATAGGAAAGAATATACCTTCTTCTCTGCAGCCCATGGAACCTTCTCGAAAATTGACCACATACTCGGAAACAAAGGAAACCTCCACAGATACAAAAAAATATCAGTGTCCACCTGTGTCCTATCAGATCACCATGGATTAAAGTTAGAATTCAACAACAATCCTACCTCCAGAAAGCCGACAAACTCATGGAAACTGAACAGTCAACTACTGAACCACACCTGGGTCAAGGAAGAAATCAAGAAAGAAATTAAAGTCTTCCTTGAATTTAAAGAAAATAAAGGGACAACATACTCAAACCTATGGGACACTATGAAAGCAGTGCTAAGAGGAAAAAAATTCATAGCACTAAGTGAAAACAGAGAAAGCATACATTGGAGACTTAACAGCACACCTGAAAGCTTTAGAAAAAAAAGAAGCAGACACGCCCAGGAGGAGTGGAAGACTGGAAATAATCAAACTGAGGGCGGAAATCAACAAAATAGAAACGCAGAAAACAGTCCAAAGAATCAATGAAACAAAAAGCTGGTTCTTGGAGAAAATCAACAAGATCGACAAACCCCTGTCCAAACTAATTAAACGACAGAGAGAGAACACGCAAATAAATAAGATTAGAAATGAAAAGGGGGACATAACCACAGACACAGAGGAAATTCAGAGACTCATTAAATCTTACTACAAAAGCCTGTACACCACAAAACTAGAAAATGCAAAAGAAATGGACATTTTTTTAGATAAGTGCCACATACCAAAGCTAAACCAAAACCAGGTGAACGATCTAAATAGACCTGTTAGTCGCAAAGAACTAGAAACCGTTATCAAAAATCTACCTTCCAAAAAAAGCCCAGGACCAGATGGTTTCAATGCAGAATTCTACCAGAACTTCCAAGAAGAGCTTATACCTATACTCCTTAATGTATTTCACAATATAGAAACAGAGGAGTCATTGCCAAATTCCTTTTATGAAGCTACTGTTACCCTGATACCAAAACCACACAAAGACCCAACCAAGAAAGAAAATTACAGGCCTATCTCACTCATGAATATCGACGCAAAAATTCTCAATAAAATACTGGCAAACCGAATCCAAGAACACATTAGAAAAATTATCCATTATGATCAAGTAGGCTTCATCCCAGAGATGCAGGGCTGGTTCAACATACGCAAATCTATCAATGTAATCCAGCATATAAATAAACTGAAAGAAAAAAACCATATGATCATTTCATTAGATGCTGAAAAAGCAATTGACAAAATTCAACACCCCTTTATGATAAAAGTCTTGGAGAGATTAGGGATACAAGGGTCATACCTAAATATAATAAAAGCTATTTACAGCAAGCCGTCGGCTAACATTAAATTAAATGGAGAAAAACTCAAAG